CATGCATGAGGCCCTGGGTTCGATTCCTCAGCACCACATAAACAAAAAAGAAAAAAACCAGAAGTGGCGCTGTGGCCCAAGTGGTAGAGCGCTAGCCTTGAGCTGAAGAGCTGAGGGACAGCGCCCAGGCCCAGAGTTCAGGCCCCATGACTGGACCAAAAAAACCAAAAAGCAAAAACGACTACACTCTACCAACCCTCAGGGAAAGTCTCTAGGGGACCCAAACCACCTTACCTCCTCCACATCTTCATCCAATTGCTCATTAGGATCCACTTCTCTTACTAAGTCCTGTAATTTCTTCTTGGTCAATACCTAAAGTTCATTGGGGCGAGGAAGGAGATTTTTCAGTGAGTAATAAGAAAGCTAAACAACTTCTTGCTCCACACCAAACAAAAAAAAGGCTTTCAAATTATTGGATTTCATTTTAAGTTTCCAAGATGTTCACAACCTGGCCTGTTATAAAAGTACACTCTCAAGACAGATGTGGCTTAGATAAGGAGAAAAAGAGTGGTTTATGAGAGGCCAGTATCTAACTGCCAGGCACTTTATTTCCAGCTTATCTCTTTTTTATTGTACCTCATCCCCTTTACATTAAGTAATTTGCAATTTTCTGGCTATAATTGTAACTGTACTTCTGCACTTGTTGCCTTTGGACAAGTCCTTCCCTTCTTTTCTTTTTTTTGGTTAGTGGTGGGATTGAACTCTGAGCCTGGGCGCTGTCCCTCAGCTCTTCAGCTCAAGGTGAGTGCTCTACCACTTGAGCCATAGCACCACTTCCAGTTTCCTAGTGGTTTATTGGAAATAAGAGTCTTATGGACTTTCCTGCCGGGCTGGCTTTGAACTGTGATCCTCAGATCTCAGCCTCCTGAGTAGGTAGGATTACAGGGGTGAGCCACCTGCTCAGGCTCACTTCCAGTTTTCTGGTGGTTAATTGGAGATAAGAGTCTCAAGTTCCTGCCTGGGCTGGCTTTGAACTTCAATCCTCAGATCTCAGCCTCCAGAATAGCTAGGATTACAGGTGTGAGCCACCAGCACCAGCCTTCCCTTCTTCGTATGTGTTCAATTTGTAGCTTTCCTTTCCTATCTTTCCTGGCCCACCCCAAAAAAACAACTATTTCCTCTTTTGTCTTCTCTGTTCTGTGAACACTTCTGTCTTTTTGCATATTTATAAACTTGCCTATATCTGATGACTTAATAGAAATCCTATGAGGACAACTAACACATTCATCTCTGTATTGGTATGTATAGCTACTATCCTTTTGTCATAAAGGAAGTGTAATATTACATATGTATAGCATAACACAGTGGTTAAGGGAGGAATGGGGGATATAGGCTCAATGGTACACCACTTTCTCAGCATGCATGAGGTTCTGGATTGGATCCCCAACATAACTAACTAAATGAACAATTATCTGTTAATGATGTTTCAAATCTATTTAGCCTTCTGCATTCTACCATTATTACCTAGTTCAACCCTTCACCATAAGTCTTGATTTGTTGTAAGTCTTTTTTTGTTGTTGTTGTAAGTCTTAAAATTGGTTCTCCTTTCAGTCTAACTTCATTATTATCATTACCAAATTAATCCCCTCTAAGACACACCACTGTTAAAGCATTACTGATTATCCCTAGTATGTAAAAAGATAGTCTATTACCCAAAAGTTCCAATAGAAATTTTCTAGTATAGACACACTATGTTCGCCTGTAATCGTACCAACACAGCTTTATTCTTGCTCTTAGTCACTAAACTCTGTATTCAACATAGGCTAGTCTTTTGACTGCCTAACCCTTCCTCATTCTGTTTTGCTAGTCTCTCCATCGCTTCCTCAAAATACTTCCTTATCCACTGTACTCAGCCTAAGAGACCCAGGTAAAGGAATTATATACTTATTTTTTTGTGGCTCTAGAAGGTGGAATCAGGATCATAGGTAGAAAGAAGGGAGCAGGTTCTAGAATCAGTACAGAATTAATAACAGCAGCAGTTGGATGAACTACAAGAAGAAATGGCTGGAGACAAGACTTGGGTTTTTTTGTTTGTTTGTTTTTGTCGGTTATGGGGCTTGAATTCTGTGCTTGGGCACTATCCCTCAGCTCTTCAGCTCAAAGCTAGCGTTCTACCACTTGAGCCACAGCACTACTTCTGAGTCTCATGGCTTTCCTGCTCCAGCTGGCTTTGAACCATGATCCTCAGATCTCAGCCTCCTGAATAGCTAGGATTACAGGTGTGAGCCACCAGCACCAGACTTTTTTTGGTTTGTTTATGTGCCAGTCCTGGGGCTTGAACTCAGGGCTTGGGTGATGTCTCTGAGCTTTTTTTGCTCAAGGCTAGTATTTTACCACTTGAGCTATAGCTCTACTTCCAGCTTGTTGGTGGTTAACTGGAGATAAGAATATCATAGTCTTTCTTGTCTTGGATCTCAACCTCTGAGTAGCTAGGATTACAGGTGTGAACCCGACAAGAGTATTTTTGCTTTAGCAAAAATGAATCCATGTGTTATTTTGACAACTATATATCTAACATATAATGCACCTGCCATATGAAAGATATTGTGTTAGGACCTTTGGATATAAGATGTAGGTATATATGTACACATATAATTGCATATTTAACATTAATTAAATCTGATAAATATTGTACATAATTTAATAAAGAATGATAGAATTACAGAGAAGGGAAAAGACCATTTTCTTTTTTTTTTTTGGTCGGTCACAGGGCTTGAACTCTGGACCTGGGCACTGACCCTCAGCTCTTCAACTCAAGGCAAGCACTCTACCACTTGAGCTACAGCGCCACTTCCGGTTTTCTGGTGGTTTATTGGAGATAGGAGTCTCACAGTCTCTCCTGCCTGGGCTGGCTTTGAACCGCGATCCTCAGATCTCAGCCTCCTGAATAGCTAAGATTACAGGCATGAGCCACCAGCACCCGGCTGGAAAAGACCATTTTCAACCAAGAAAAGGCAGCACCTGAGAAGGCCAATTCTCTCTCTTTTTTTTTTTTGGGGGGGGGAGTCCTTGTCCTAGGGCTTGAACTCAGTGCTGGGCACTATTCCTGAGCTTTCTTTGTTCAAGGCTCCCACTCTACCCCTTGAACCACAACTCCACTTAGGCTTTTTGGTAGGTAAATGCAGATAAGAGACTCAGGAACTCTCCTGACAGGCTGGCTACAAACCACAATCCTTAGATCTCAGCCTCCTGAGTAGCTAGGATTACAAGCATGAGCCACTAGCGCCCACTGGAGCCATATCTTAAAGCATTACAGGTTCAAATAAAAGGAAGAGGTGCCTGCAGAGTAGGGGGAGGTAAGATGATACCTGGTTGTTTTCAGGGCTAAGACGCCCCCCAGTCCCAGGCGTGCCTGGTATCTTTACCACCGTTGTGCTATTGGCCATGGAGCCTTGTGGAGGGGTGCTGGCTGGTTCCGGTTTTATGGAGGAGAAATTGGAGAGGTTGATTAGGGCTGAGGGGCCAAACTGGTTCATAATCTGCCGAGCTTTGGACTTCAGCTCATAGAGCTTATCAAGATCCTGTTTCTTTTTGGAGCTGTGAGGACCAAGGCCAATCAACTGGAAAATGAAAACATGACAATCAGTTCTAGAAAAAATACCTATAATAAAAGATGAGTTTTGAAATTAAAATTATAGGAGATTTGTCAGACTTTGACGGGGTCTTCAGTATATCTGAGATAGCAAACATTTGATGCCTACACATCAACATGAAAGAAATAATGCTCCTTGCTCTCACCTGATATTAGAAACCATTTCTTCTCCAAAAGCTAAATGAAATATTCCACAAAATTAAAGTAATAAAGAAAGTAAATGAAATGAAACTTACATACAGAAATAGCAGAAGCAAGATAGATTTGAGGACTTTTACAAACAATACCTGGCTCAGTATTTACATGCATTTTTTAAGTATGTCAAATACTGTTAAAATAAATCAGAACACACGTACTGAAAACTCAGTCACAAAACTTAAGAAAACAGATTAGTTCATTTTGCATTTCAAAACATGCTTGAGTCTATGTCTGAACTCTGCCCATATCACACAATACTAAAAGTGAGCTCTTCCTTATAATAAAGAGCATGTTTTCTCTGAGTGTTAGCAATGTTTACATACATGCAGAGACTCTGGCCTGAAGCAGCTGAGTTTCCTAAGTCTTAGAGCCATGAGGCTGATGCTGTGGACATCAACTTTGGTGACCTCAGGATCAGAAGCACATTCACCAAGTTTTGCCCACAGTGGCTTCAAGGAGCTTACTTACAGCTATCTGAGTGTCTAGATCTTTAATTACATCAGCAACAGCTGTGAGCCCGGTGAAATGAGAGGCAGCCATTTTCAAAAGCTACCTGTAAATGAACAACTAGCATCAAGCACCACCCTTGTCTCAGAATTATTCCACTTGCATGGCCTGGACATAGCTTCACCAACCAACCAAAATTCAGGCACATTGGATCCAGAGAAACATATCCAGATCCTTCCTCAATCTCAGTCTCTCTCACTTTTTTGATAAAGTGTCTTGCAATGTACCCAAGCTGGCCTCTAACTCACAATATACCTGCCTCAACCTCTCAAACACTGGGATTACAGGGATACACTACCATGCCTAGTTCATAAACAATCTTAAAATGTAATTAATAACAAATATTTAAAAACTCGTGGTAGGGCCAGGCATGGTGGCATGTATGTCTAATCCCAGCAATAAGGAATTTTAGGTGAAACACTTGAGTTCAAGAGTTTGAGACAAACTTTTGATAAAATGGTGAGATTCTGTGAGGAAGGAAGGAAGGAAGGAAGGAAGGAAAGAAGGAAGGAAGGAAGGAAGGCAGAGAGGGAGGGAGGGAGGAACGAAGGAAGGAAGGAAGGAAAGAAGCAAAGAAGGAAGGGGGCTGGGAAGGTGGCTCAGTGGTACAGTGCTTGCCTTGCATGCCTGAGGCCCTGGGTTCGATTGCTCAGCACCACATAAGCAAAAAGAAAAAAGCCCGAAGTAGCGCTGTGGCTCAAGTGGTAGAGCGCTAGCCTGGAGCTGAAGAGCTGAGGGACAGCACCAGAGTTCAGGCCCCACTACCAGACCCCCCCCCAAAAAAAAAGAAGGAAGGAAGGAAGGAAGGGTAGGAAAGGAAGAAGGGAAGGGAGGGAGGGAGAGGAAGAGAAGGAGGTAAAGAAGAGAGGGGAGGGGAAGAGAGGGGAGAGGAAAAGCATGGTGGTGCACACCTGTAATCCCAAAACTCAGGAAGGTGAGGCAGAAGGATTGAGTTTGAGGCCAAGTTGGTCTACACAGTCAGATACTTTCTTAAATAAACAGGAACTAGGGTATGGCTCAAGTGATACAATACTTGCCTAGCAAACCCTAAGTGCAATTCCCCCATACATCAAAAACAAAAAAAGTAAAATGCAAAGTATGGGAGCACAGACATGTAATCCTACCACTGGGGAGACTGAGACAGAAGGATCGATCACAAATTTGGGTTACATAGTAAGTTTGAGGTCAGCCTACACTACAAGATACTATCTGAGAAAAGGAACAATTAAAAATTGATTATTAGAGCTATGTGCCAGTGGCTCATGCCTATAAACCTAGCTGCTCAGAAGGCTGAGATTTGAGGATTGGGGTTTGAAGCCAGGCCAGACAGAAAAGTCCCCATGAGACTCTTATCTCCAATTAACTACTAAAAAAATGGGAAGTGGAGCTCTGGCTCAAGGGGTTGAGTGCTAGCATTGAGCACAAAGAGGCTCAGGAACAGCGCCTACACCCTGAGTTCAAGCCCTATAACCAATCAAAAAAAAAAATCTTTGAGTATATATAGTATATACATGAGACAGGGTCTTGTAATGTAGCCCAGGCTGGCTTTGAACTTGTACTTTTCCTGCCTCAGCCTCCTGAGTACTGGATGAGATGACTAGCTATTGTTCAAAATAGACTAACAGCATATAAAACAATTTGGCAAAACTGTGGGATTTGAACTGCAGGAATCATGTACTGTCAATGGCTTTTAAAATTTGGTAAGGTTTAGAAAGCTAAATGAGTATCTCTATTCTGCTCTATTCTACTTCAGGCTTCCTCCCTAACACACTGGCTAACTTCTAATATGAAAAAGTACATTATTCTGGTTTACCCTTAAAAAAAGGAACTATGGAGGCTGGGAAGGTGGCTCAGTGGTAGAGCACTTGCCTTATATGCATGAGGCCCTGGGTTCGATTCCTCAGCACCACATAAGCAAAAAGAAAAAAGCCGGAAGTGGCGCTGTGGCTCAAGTGGTAGAGCGCTAGCCTTGAGCTGAAGAGCTGAGGGACAGCGCCCAGGCCCAGAGTTCAGGCCCCACGACCGGACCAAAAGAAAAAAAGGAGCTATGTACTAGTCAAGTGAATCGGGCTGACTAGTTGCCAAGGGCAAAGTGATGGGAACAGCAGGGCATTTAGGATCACATGTTTGCTTTCAAAATCATGTATGACCTGTGCCTCTTTCTCCTACCCATGTTACTCATGGAAGACTCAGGATAGGAAAATTGTTAACATGGTCAGTTATTCTAACAGCATAAAGAGTAAACCATTTTTTAATGTAAAAGCCTTATTAAAGACTGTCAAACTCGCCGGGCGCTGGTGGCTCACGCCTGTAATCCTAGCTACTCAAGAGGCTGAGATCTGAGGATCACGGTTCAAAGCCAGCCCGGGCAGGAGATACCGTGAGACTCCTATCTCCAATAAACCACCAGAAAACCAGAAGTGGCGCTGTAGCTCAAGTGGTAGAGCGCTCGCCTTGAGCTGAAGAGCTGAGGGACAGTGCTCAGGCCCAGAGTTCAAGCCCCACAACCGACAAAAAAAAAAAAAAGACTGTCAAACTCTTAGCTATGGCTCTGGTCCTCTGTCCTGAGGCATTTAAGGACACATTGGGTAAGGCTCTCACCCAAGTCACTAACAACACCTGCCTTGTAGCAGCCAGCCAGCCTTGCATTTCCCCATGCCATGATGCTCTTACTCTCCAGTATTACCTGAGTCTACTCTGCCCTCAAACTATAAAACCATGAGATTATTCAGATAGGGATCTCAATAAAACTGAGGTAATCCTAGCTAACCAGGCAGCTAAGACCTAGAGGAAGGTAGTTCATGCCAGCTCAGGGGGCTGGAAAATTGGCTCAGTGGTAGAGTACTTGCCTTGCATGCATTAGGCCCTGGGTTCGATTCCTCAGCACCACATAAGCAGAAAAAAGCCAGAAGTGGTGCTGTGGCTCAAATTGTAGGGCACTAGCCTTGAGCTGAAGAGCTGAGGGACAGTGCCCAGGCCCAGAGTTCAGGCCCCATGACCAACTAAAAAACAACAAAAAACTCAGGCCAAAAAGTCAGTAAGATTCTACAATTAACCAACAAAATGCCAGAATGGAGCCATGACTCAGTGGTAGTGCACCAGACATGACCGAAAAAGTCAAGTGAGAGCAAGAAGCCCTGAGTTCAAGGCCCACTACTGGCACACAAAAAAAGAAACAAATGGAAAAATAACAACAAAACAAAAACAAAACATCTGGCTGGCTAGGCATTGGTGGCTCACATCTGTAATCCTAGTCACTTGGATGGCTTGAGATCTAAGGATGATGGTTTAAAGCCAGTCCAGGCAAGAAAGTCTGTGACACTCGTACTTCCAATTAGCCACCAAAAAAGCTGGAAGTGGAGTTGTGGCTCAAGTGGAAGTGTGATAATCATGAGCAAAAAAGCTCAGGAACAGTGCCCAGGCCCTGAATTCAAGCATCAAGAACCCCCCCCCCCGCCCATCCCCACAAACACACACAAGATAAAAAAGTGAATATTTGTTTCAGTAGGTAGTAAACTTTTTTTTTTATGGTCATGGAGCTTGGCCTCAGAGCCTGGGTGGTATCCCTGAGTTCTTTTGCTCAAGGCTAGCACTCTACCACTTTGAGCTACAGCTCCACTTCTGATTTTCTGGTTGTTAATAGGAGATAAGTCTTGTGGGCTGTGACTTAGTGGTAGAGTGCTTGCCTAACATTCATGAAGCCCTGGGTTTGATTCCTTAGTACCACATAAATAGAAAAAGCTGGAAGTGCTGCTGTGGCTCAAGTGACAGAGTGCTAACCACGAGCATGGAGAGGCTCAGAGACAGTGCCCAGGCCCTGAGTTCAAGCCCAGGACTGGCAAAAAATAAAAATAAAAGGGCTGGGATGTAGCTCAGTGGCAAAGCGCTTGCCTAGCAAGTGCAATGTCCTGAATTCGATCCCCAGTACCAAAAAAATAAAAATAAAAAAGTTGTGTGAACTTTCCTGCCCAGGCTGCCTTTGGCTTTGAATAGCTAGGATTACTGGAGTGGGCCACCAGTTCCTGGCTGATTTTTGTTGTTTTTAATCCAAAAGTCTGAAGCAACTAGATTTTGTTCTTGTTCTATTCTGAAGTGCTGGGAACTAAAACCAGGGTCTCCAACATGCTAAGCAAGTAATATGCCACTGAGCTACATCCCCAATCCTATTAAAACCTTTTCAAAAATAAATAAATATTCTAGGACCAGGTGTGGTGGCATATATTTGTAATTCCAGCTATTCCAGCTATTCTCAAGAGGCTTGAG